AAGAACTCAAGTGGCTTATCACCTCCAAGCGTGGGGAAAGAACAAGTGACTCCTCCTTTCTCGTTCATTCGATGTCAGTCATAAAAGATTTTTATCTGGTTCAAGAAATTTTCCGGTTGCCCTGGAACTATTTTTGATCAAAAGGAAATTGGTCAAATTTTTTAGGTACATTTTTTCATGCGTTTGGCTACAATACAAACGATTTTTTGATAATTGCTATTTTTGTGTACAATACTGCGAAACACCATGATCGGTTACATGATACGTTGACCATCGTTTCATGTCAGCAATGGACTTAAGTAAAAAAAAAAAAACGCGCGCGGGACTTACGCCCAAAACTATTGTTCTTATTTCATGGATAAATGTGTCCAAACAATCTTTTTGCGCCATATCATCCTACTGTCTTAGTATATACTAAAACAGCTATTCACTTCGGTAGCTAGTTATAGATATTTACTTAGCTGCAGCAGGACTTGGTAAATGTCTACAACAAGTGGCCTTCACAACGGTGAATAGTTGTTAAATTAATTGTAGCTCAGGCTTACCATTATTTTAAAGAAATTGTGGTGATGCGTCTGTTAGAGTGTGACAAGAACGGTTTACGCTCAAAACGACAGCTTTAAAAACTCCTTACGGTGACCAATTTATTAATTCAGTTTGTAAATCCAAATAAGTCTTAAGGATCAACTAAAGAGGGTATTTGATGATTTGAGAAAGAGATGCTCTCATTCGTGATGCGATTTTTTTCACGATAAAATGATGCTTGGGAGAAATTACGCTGCAACTGTTGGCATATTAATGTTTCAGTTTGGGGTTCGGGGCAAAAACTTAGGTTCTGAAAATCAGAGGTGAAGGAACCACATGCCGCACCAATTAGTAAACCAATCGTTCAATAAGTCAGTCAGCTATTCTTTCAGTAAGTCTATCATCAATTTTTTCTCTAAAAGAAGTGATTGTCTTCCCTTTGACATGCGAGCTGGTGGTCTGAATGGAGAGCATATGAGAGAAAATTGAAAATGAAAAACTATTTTCACTAACACTAAGCATAGGAAATTATAGATAGTCGAACCCGGCTATATTTTAAAGGCGGCCAGTACGAAGAATAGAGGAGTACCCTCTAAATGCAGGTTTTACATAGAAGGGTATTATATATTGAGAACACAATAGAAAATTCCAAATTCTGTCATAATTGACCACGTCAAGTACAAATACGCACTTACAAATATAACTAACCTTGCTTCGAAAGATAACACTGGATTAAAGTGCACTTAAGACATTCTTCTTAGCATTAATTCATTAACACGCTCACTGACGCCACAAATGTGTTTTTCAATTTGGATAACATACTAAATATTTTTCTTGGGTCAAAAATAAATTTTAAGACAGATATTTCTCAGACGGTTGTATCAAAAGATATCAGAAGATAAACATGTATCAGTAATCATTATATCTCAGATAATATCCACGGAAATTCAGCACGTTTACCGACGCCACAAATGTGATATTCAATGTGTCTGTTAGCTTTTTCAGTTTAACGAATTAGCACTATCCTATCTTGTTGGATCGTATTTCTAACTCAACAAAAATCTTTGTTTAGTGACTCACTGTGACAACTCAAGAAGCTTATCAGTTTTACAGGTGGAGAGCAAAACAGCCAGCTCTTCCCTTATTATACTGTCCCTGCAACTAAAAATATATTCAGTCTCCCCTAAAAACTCATAAACTTTAAGATAGAGAGTTAAATTGTAAATTCCAGTGTTTTGCAACAAACTAAATATGGGATAGCAGGTAATTTAGTGTTAACAACTGGGTTGAAAACGTAAATTAGCCACCGTAAAGGGTAAAAAAGCTGACGTTTCGAGCGTTAGCCCTTGGTCAGAGCGATTAGTCACAGCGCCACAGCTTATTTAGAAACTTACCCCTTTATAAATATGGGATATCCTTTTACACGCACGAAAGCTATTTTTGGGTACAGTGAACGCCAATTAAGACTGGTGAAATATTGACTTTCGTTCAAAATTGACTTAATCATGAATTTAATGAAATTATAGAATACCAGAAATATTGTCGTTAGATCTGGGAAGTTAAAAGCTTATACAGCTTGAAAAAAATTATTCTATCTGTATGTGATGTGATTTTTCTTATTTTTAATCTTGTTGTTGTTGTTGTTTTTAATATGGGTAAATATAAATCTGTACTGTTTAGTTAGATTGAGGGAAATATTTCGAAGAGAAATGTCTTCAATCGATAAAGGGGGTAAGTTTCTGAAGAAAATGTTGTACTGCGTCAGTGGGAGAGTATAGCGAGGTAATACAGTATCATCAACTGAGTTGATAACGTAAATTGACTACCGTAGAGAGTTTCAAAGCTGACGTTTCGAGCGTTAGCCCCTCATCAGTTAGTAGACATAATAATCAGTCAATAAATAATAAGTTGATAAAATGTCTTTGAGAGAAATGATATTAATCGTACGTTAATCAGTTGAATCATCGTTGGAATTTAACAGCAGTTTTAGCAGTGGAACCCTGCTGGTAAGGCTTATACTATTTGTGAACAGTTTGTAATTAAAGACAGGGATAACATTGTTAATAAAGACGAGGATTACGAACTCCAATGCTCAGGAGATCATTATGATAGAGATTCTCTCGCTCTAATGGATCGAGGATGGTGTCGTATCTCGCTATAATAACTACGCGCGAGGTGATTAAAGCAAAGGTGCTTAATTTCAAAATTCCTGTTGTTCACTTTGGATTAATTCCTTGATTTACCAAAAATAAGTTCTTCTGTTTATTGCCTGAAAAATATCTTGTTACTTTTTCTCAGGGAGTTAAAAGATTAGCGGTGTTTAAGTCTACACCATTAAAAAAGCTCAAAACTTTGACGAGCATCTTAATTCAGCCAGAAAATTCACCCACGAGTGGTAAGAAGAGAGAACCAAATATTTTAAATCTTTAGAACAAACTCTATGAACCGATGAAAAGGGCAGTTATCATGAATACTAGCTTTGCTTTGGTGAAAATCCATATGGAAATGACAAAATACGATATAAACTTTTCTGATAATTGTAACAAAGTTCTTGTTTATAGTAATCATGATAAACGAGTCGTTTTGTGCAAACTCTCTGCTGCAATTATTCTCTCTTTTATGACTTGAGAGAGCTTCGATCAGCTCTTATTGTTAAGTGTGTCTTCAGGAATTCCCTTAGTTACACCGCTATCATGTTAAACATTATGACAATGTACCACATGCAGAAAGCTTCATCTTTGCCAAAGAATTTAACAACATTGAAGCCCAGTCCTACTATTTCTGATGTTGGAGTTGGTTTGTTTGCTCAATCTTTTAATGCTTTTTGGACAAGTGGCTTGAACTGGAGAACCCTAGCTGCGACGCTTACCAAATGCTTAATATTTCTAGTAATCCATTTTTTTTCCCTCTTTTTTTTTTTTTTTTTTAATGCTCGCCTCGTTCTGGTTCCTTGGTGTTGTGGCTGTTATTTTAGAAGTTTCTTGGGTATTCATCTTCATCTCAGAGACCAGGATCTTGTGACACTATGAAGAGTATCTACAGCTGATGTTTCGATCGTTACTCTCTTCGCCATCTCCCTAGATGAAAACGGTATGCATGTTAACGTCATCGTTGTGAATTGGCCGGTCTCAGTCGACTTTTCAGATTAACTAATAATTTACCGAGCTAAGAAAGTATGCAGCCCTCCTGATTGAGATGTTAATCGAAATACGTCACTAGTGTGCCCAATAAGGAGGGAACGTTTAAATAATAAGGTGACCGCGGACTGCATTCCTAATCTTTTTTTCCTTCGGAAACCAACATTTTGCACATTCTAATTTCATCGCATGGGCTTCCACTAATAAAAGATAACACCCTCGCTCTGATCATCTCGCGCAAGGTGACCACGGCAGGATAGAACGCAATCCTCGATCACTCAGAGCACGACAAATTTCTTCAATCAACTGAGAAATTGCACCAATAGATTTTAATCCCCACCCTATGAACCTAATATTGATACCATCTGAATAAGGTGCAAGTTTCTAAAGACATCTACTGGTGACTCGTCGGTGGGGGAGTATAACAAGATAATTTTTGTTTTATCAACTCGGCTTATAAAACCAAATTGTCCTATTCATGCTATTTGAGCGTGTAGGATTCGAAATACTTTAAATTACAAAAAAAATAAATTAGCTCAATGTTCAATAGACTCTTCAGTACAGCGCTAGCCGCGTGCATGACCCTTAACCCTTCCAGTGCTAAGATCTCAATATCAATTCTTCTTGGTGTCTGCCATACGATTCTTATAGTTTTATTTTGCAGCATGTTGTATGGAATTGGATCAACTTATAATCCCCTGATTGGTATTTTTCTTTATTCTCATTACCTTTCTGTTTGATGTAGTATTGATATTGCGAGCAGAAATTCTGTGTTGGTCACTTATGGGAGTTAAAAGAATTATGCCGTTAGACGGCAAGGAATGGTCATTACGCTTAAAACTTGAATTTTAACAATTGGTCTTTCAAAAAATAGCTAATCGCAAAAATTGCTCTTTTAAGAACGAACGAAAGAAATTAACCGTTAACCGTAGATTGGCCAAAATTTTAACCGTCAAAAAATTTTAGCTGCAAAGCCATTACAAGAACCTCTTTGAGACCCTCTTAATAGTGCGTGAAGCGACATGTGGGTAGCTCCTTTCCATATTGATAGTGGATCGGAAATTGGACATCTTTATTCTCACGGAAATTCAAATCCTGAAGGAAATATACCGAAAGATTAAATCAAGTAAAACATGTTAGTGAACGCGTTTTGAGGATTTACTAATTTTTCTTAATTTATTTCAAACGCAACGAGGTTGAACAAAAAGATTGTCCAAACAAACTGCTTCTCTGCATTAACAAACAAATCACTGGCTTCGTGTTTTTGAGAGGAAAAAGACACAGAAACCTGGTCTCATTGTCTTGGAATCTTATTCATTAGATATTTCTACGTTTAGGACAGAAAAAAAAAAAAGATGAAATACACCACACGAAAATTTGGGTTCACTCGGGTTGCAAAGTAAGCAAACGTGTTGAAAATTTAGGGATATAAATTTGTGTGAACGTGCTGATTAGCATGTTCTTGCGGCTTTCCTGTCACACGTGATATAAACGTGACATTGTGCTCTTTGTTTCCTTCACCTTTGCAGATAATGCAATTTTTTAATGAAGACATAAATTTGCACAAGCATTACCCTCTTTGCAAAACCAGGCAAATATAGTGCAATACAAATCTTTTTATTCCCATGTTTGAAAACGTTTTCGCAAGGGATGCAAATGTAAACATTTGCTGATAACTTGCTCTAAATGGATCTAAGAGCAAGAACTAATTTGCTAGAAACTCACAAAGATTTGTAATAGAAAGCCAAATAATACATTGCAAAACTTTTAGAGGGTGTGTTTGTTTCTTGCTACATTTGATGTGATTACTTAAGGGAAGCCCGATCAACATTTCTGTGACCAAGGAATGTTGACTGCTGAATTGCTTGAAATGTGACTCTCAGAAACTTCGACCTTTTCGCTTTTAACCATCATAGTCGGGCCTTGTGAGGAAACGCTATTGCGTTAGTCAACGGAATACTATAATCCAACCGGATTTAATTCCTTCGTTTTTCTCTCCTTTTTGACCCCAATGGAAACTTTGTTTGATTCAAAACATTCCCAGTCTATTAAACTCTTTCAGCTTTCTTTTGCAAGCCTAATGGTCCATACCATCCACTGATCTTCGAATCCTTATCTGTCTCTGGCGTGCGTGCGTGCTTTCGAAGACTGTTACAGCACAAAAACATAACCCAATTAAAGTTCTTGTCAATGACAAACAAAAGTTTGGATGAGTATTTTACACCAAAGAATGTTAGACACCTGAGAAAGTATCAATTTCTTTGTTTGTCCACCTATAGAACGTTGTTTCAAAAGCACGTCATCTGTTTCTTTTATTGACCTCTTGAAGCGTGACCTTGCAGCCCGCGTGGGCGGCAGAGGGGACGGGCATACTTCTAATGCAAACCGATTGTTAAACAACAGCGTGAAATACGGTGACAACTTTTTGACTGTAAATCTTCCCATTTTAAAATCCCTATTTACGAGACTTTTCTCACCCCCAAAATCTCGAAAAATGTGCGATTCCATTGTTGTAACTCCATTAAAGAATGCAGCCCTATTACAGTCAATCCAGTCGTAAAAATGCGACTAAGAAGTACT